TAGAATTCTCCTTTCTGTTTTGCGAAGAAAAGGAGCTGAACACCTTTTGCAGAGAACAGCTTTCTGCGTAGGCGGCCTTCGGCCGCACTTAGGGATTATAATCCTCAGGCAGTAGAATTCTCCTTTCTGTTTTGCGAAGAAAAGGAGCTGAACACCTTTTGCAGAGAACACCTTTCTGCGTAGGCGGCCTTCGGCCGCACTTAGGGATTATAACCCTCAGGCAGTAGAATTCTCCTTTCTGTTTTGCGAAGAAAAGGAGCTGAACACCTTTTGCAGAGAACACCTTTCTGCGTAGGCGGCCTTCGGCCGCACTTAGGGATTATAACCCTCAGGCAATAGAATTCTCCTTTCTGTTTTGCGAAGAAAAGGAGCTGAACATTTTCTTTTGTATTGATTTCCCCTGTATTCCTTTTTAATCATTGCCTTCTTTGTATGTATTGTTTTATTTATTTATTTATTGGAGTCTATGATTAGTATAGTCTTACAGACTATAATAACAAAAAAAAAAAAAAAACATTAATAAACTGTAACATTAAGAATAACATGTACACAAGGTTGTCTTAAATTCTATCCTATTGGCAAAAATGTTAACATTGTACACTTTGCATAAAGCATTAAAATCACTCATTATCCCTATAATTGGTTCATTTAGAGCATAATTAGTCTTACATAGGTCAATCGAAAACATATCAAGTTGGCGTAGCATCCTCATTGGAGCATTGAGTTTAATGCGATCTAATAGGGAGGGGCAGTCAATTTCCCCACTCAGAATATCATGCAAAAACAACAGACCCGAAATAGTCCGCCTACTACGTAGAGTTTGCAAGCTAATCAACTTGCAGCGAGATATATATAGTGGAGTAGGATTATCAAACCTAATTTGAGCCAAACCAAATTTTAAAAAACATTTTTGTACGCGCTCAATCCTATTATGGTGAACTTCGTAAGAAGGATTCCAGATTATAGAGGCATATTCCAGTTTGGACCTGACAAACGCATTATATAAAAGCTTTCTTGTATAGGGGTCCTTGAAATGGGCACTATTTCGCTTAATGAAAGCTAATGACGATAATATAATTGATATGTTCGACAAATGTGAACGCTGAATCAAACACGACACCTAGATCCTTAATTTTGGTACTCAACTTCAGGACAACATTTGAAATAGAGTAAGACGATAGTAAGGGGGAACGAGACTTGCAATAAGTTACAGAAAAACATTTATTTGTATTAAGTGTTAATTTATTACGACAACACCACTCACAAAAATTATTAAGCTCGGCTTGAAGAACACCAATATCAGAGGCATTTTCAATTTTTTTAAAAACCTTCAGGTCATCTGCGTATAACAGGTATTCACAATGTTTAAAACAAGCACTGGAATCATTCATAAAGAGAACAAAGAACAAAGGACCCAAAATACTTCCTTGCGGAACTCCCGAGGACGCAGTAAAAGGGGAGGAGCTAATCCCATCGACAACAACTTTATTTACTCTATTGCAAAGATAAGACTTTATCCAGGACAGAAAGCTTGAGTGAATACCCAAATGTTTTAACTTTTGCAGGAGTAAATTATGTGACACGCGATCAAAGGCTTTAGATATATCAGTGTATATGGTATCAACCTGGTAGCCACCCACAAACGCTGATATACAATAATTTGAAAAAACGGCTAGGTTAGTCACGGTAGAGCGCCCTGGTACAAACCCATGTTGAGAGGGTGATATTGATTGTTTAATGGCAAATGAAAGTTTACTACTAACAATTTTTTCAAATAATTTCGCAATATTAGGAAGCTTAGAAATAGGCCGATAATTCGAAATGTCACTTTTGTCACCTGTTTTAAAAATAGGAGACACAGAGGTGATTTTCCAATCATCCAAAAAATGACCTGACGCTAGTGATAAGTTAAATAAGAGAAGCAATGGCTCGGAAATAGATGCGATGCATTGCTTAAGAAAATAAGACGAGATTTGATGAACATCCACTTGTTTGGAGGTCTTTAAGCTTCTTATACCGTAAAAAATATCATCTTCCGATAACATCAAAGATCCGAAATCTACCGATGCAGGACTATTATTGTAGGTAGCCTCACCACTCGAAGAATAATCAGTTACAAAATTTGATTTGAAAAAATCAGCAAACAAATTTGCTGTGTCATTCATTGAGGATGACTGCTTCCCTTCGTAATGCATGGAAATTGGAAATGCCGATGAAGTACGCTTGGAGTTGATAAAGGACCAAAAAGCTTTTGGATTAGTTTTGATGTTATTTTCGAAACCCATTAGGTATTTGTTATATAAAAACTTGTTTAAACAATTGAAATAAGCCATATATTTCTCAAACAACACTTTATGCTGCATACTATCACTATTTTTAAAAAGTATATAAAATTTATTTCGTAAATTCTTTAATTTTTTTAGCCTCCTATTATACCACGGTAGTTTATGAACACGGTTGGAGAATGTTGGGATGTTTTCCCTAGTAATTCGTTCAAGTTGAGATCTGAATTTAACAAAACAATCCGGGAGACTACACTCCGAGAATAAGATTTCCCAATCCACGCCAGAAATTAGGTTATTTATATGCTCAAAGTCGCAACGTGAATAATTAAAATTCGACCACAAGGCAGTTTCTTGTGGGCAGGCAGAATACTCATAAAACTCAAGCTCCAGTATGAGTGGGATATGATGCTTATCAGTTGGAGATATTGGACAGTCTGACCTGGATAGCTTAAACCTAAGGTCGTATGAGATAAATACAAGATCTAAAATCCTATTAAGCTCATTTTCAAAGTGATTGATTTGTCTTAATTGTAAGCTATAGAAACCGTCTATTAAATAAATTTCACTAGGGCAATTTACATTACTAGGAATGAGCACAGTATCATCCGGAAGGCATGACCACATAATTTTGCTGAGATTATAGTCACCAAGTAGACACAATTGGGCTTCCTTATTTGAAAATGATGATAAATTTAAAATATTATCTACATGGTCACTATATAATTTCTCTGAGCTGTTAGGAGGTATATAGGATACGCAAATGTATAGTTTCGCACCATCACCATCAATAGATACACATAGCTGGTCGAGTTGAGAGTCAGCATTTTTTAGGGTAACGACTGCGGCCCCAATACCAATTTTTACAGCAATGAGAACACCGCCCCCACGAGTGGTATCTGTCGCTGTACTGTCTCTATCCTTGCGAAAGACTGAAAACAAATTTCGGTCGAAGAACTCCTCATTGCAAAAATTCGCGTTAAGCCATGTCTCGACTAAGACAATAACATCGAAATCCGTATGAGTTGTAGCAAGATAAACATCATTTACTTTGGTTCTCATGCCAGAGATATTTTGAAAATAGATTTTTAATGGATTATTATGCGTAGGAGGAACAACTAACTAAGAGGAGGTTGCCCTCCTTGTTTTTGAAAAAAACGGAACTGTCGAATATTAACATTTGTTGGCCAGATTTCTGGCTTCAGCAAATTAAAATATACATCTTCAGGAACTCCCAATTTGAAGTTGATATATTTTAGTGATGTCTCATTTGTATCCTTCTTTACCAATTTATAGCAGGCAATTTGTTGCTTATCAACGATGACTTGCTTCGACACGTAATTAATAATATCGACTTCCGAAACCGTTGGCTTGAACGATGATAAATGGAGCCACTTAAGAGGCGAAAATACTCCCAGATCATTATTTTCATTACGGCCAACCACGATATTTTTCCGCTTGGGCACTTTCTTTCGCGGAACAGTGATCCAATCAGCACCGAGTTGCGGCTGGGTAGATGCATTTAATATATCTGACGAAACAGTTTGCAGTTGTTTTGATGCAGAGGGCAAAGCATTGGGAGTAGCATTGATAACAGCAGTGGAAGGTGAAGATGTATTAGTAACAGTAGCCAATGCAGTTGATAACGCAGTCAGCATCTGTTTAGAAGCTGATGACCAAGCGACAGAAGTGACATTATTCACGTCAGCGGAAGAAGATGAAGAAACATTGTTTGCTGTTATCATATTAGCTGATAATGCAGTTCGCATTTGTTGAGAAGCCGACGGCAAAGCAGTTGATAACGCAGTCGGCATCTGTTTAGAAGCTGATGACGAAGCGACAGAAATGACATTATTCACGTCAGCAGGAGAAGATGAAGAAGCATTATGTGCAGTTATCATATTAGCTGATAATGCAGATCGCATTTGTTGAGAAGCCGACGGCAAAGCATCTGAAGAAACATTATTATCCACCTCCGCTGAAGTAAGTGAAAGTGCATTGTTAACAATCGCAGAACTCTCAGATCTCTCCATAGCCGAGGTTGGTGACTTCGCTCTCCGTAGGTCAGGAAAACCGTTTAACTTATTCTTGTTGTTGTTCACCTTAGCAGTTGAATTAGAATTAGCAACAACATCCTTTAGGGCACCGAATTCTGTACATAAAGTTTTTAAACATGATGAAACATTTTTGTTGTGTTCACAGTTTTTTTGATTTATTAAAGCAATTTCTTTATGAATGTTACCAAATTGGTCCATTATTGTGGTTACAATAGAGTCTAAGCCATTTTTATGCGTAGCCATGAAAGAATCCAAAGACCTTGTTAATTTTGCAGGCAATAACAAACACTCTGGGCAAAGATAGCAGATATGCTTATTCTGGTTAAATAGTCTGACATCATATTCTGATATTTGGCCCACACAGCAAGTACGGTGAAATTGTTTTTGACAAAAACCACTGCACGGCACAGTTAAGGTATCATTTCGCGTAAATGATTTGCCACACTTTCCGCAAGAGTCCATGTTAAAACCACTAACAAACCAAATAGCAAGAGCAGAAGCAAAACACGTCCGCACTCTAGCGCGG